GTCCGAGAGAGCTCGTCCGTGGGGAGCGGAGCGATGGATGGGAATAGATTAGGAATTTCATCTTTGCCAAGTTTTTATACAACAAAGAAGAGTGGATGTTCTGCACGTCAGTTTGAGCTCTCTCTCGAACTTTGAAGAAGAGAAGCCTTTACGTTCTGTAAAAATAGAATCTCTAAATGTACTTCTTAGTTTTAATGCAGGGAAACAAGTCAGATATGACAGATTTAAACTTACTTAAACTTACCAACATGTCATGATAAGGCCCTCTATTCAATTTTTCACCCTCTATCTTTTAAAACCGGCCAGGTCATCTATGCATTATTGGAGTTTGACTCTTGAGTGACATAGCTGATATAAAACAAACTTGACATGTGTACAATTAAGTTCTGAAACAATTCATTGATTCAAAAATACAATTAAATCATCATAGATTGAAATGACTATTGAAATTGAACAATCAAGCATTTGAAGTTGAGATTTGAGAAAAACAAAGTTTTACTATTTATTTAAAAATAAATATACAGACCAAACAATGATTTGAATAATGAAAACATAATTTTCTGCCCTTGAATATCATGTTGCCGTGTTGTTGCTCTTTCCCTACGTGATGGTCTGCTGGTAAAGCGGGTGTGTTCCTGTTTTGTTAAGCAATCTCAGGGACCCTCCTCGTCTTCCGCCAGCGCTCGGCACAGGCCCCGGGCCGGAGCGAGAGGCCAGCAAACAGATTGACAGAGTGAGGGGAAAATATGTTGGGACATTCAGTGACGCTCTCACACACGCTCTCTCAAACACACCCTCTCATTGACGAGGCCCTGCTCTCTCCTCCTGCTCGCCTGCCAGTTGACATCCTCTCTATTAATTTGAGTCGCCACTCTGCTTTCTCAGCCAACCTCTCCCCCCCACCCCTCACCCCCCTACTCTGACCATAAACCCCCATCACCCATCTCACATCAATCCCCGCCTCCCTCCAAAACTCTCCATATACTACTCTCAAACCTCTTGGTCATTGAGCCCCCTCCTCCGCCTCTTTGGTCATTGAGCAAGGCCCATCAGCTCTTCCCCGGGCCCTTCAGAGTAGCGTCTCCCCTTTCTCCTGGGGTCCACGGGGTCTTTGTCCGTGCACCGGCTCACTGCTTTACAATGACTCTCCACTCTATTAAGGTGCGTTCTGCCTGTTAGCGTCGCCAGGGGCAACTGGCCTCCCGCATGGCAGCTATGCAGCATGGCATTGTGGGCCGCGGACTCGAGCGGGGCAGTTGAACCCCCGGCACTCCTCACACTTGACACCGCATGTGTTTATCTAAAGGGGGGCTTTGTGGTGTTTGGAGAACCTCGATGGAAGAGGGGTGGGGGGGACACGGGGTGTAAAAAGACGTAAAACTGGGGAAGGAGGGGAAGGAGGGGAAGAGGGGGGGGGGGGACTTTCGGGAGGTGATAAATATTCAACAGCTCAGCTCCTCAGAAGGAGTTACTATCCTGCAGCCCCTCCACCACCTCCTCCCCTCCCGTGTGTCCTCTCCATGCCAGAAAGCAGATGGAATGTGAGAGCTCAGGGAGGAGGCTCCAGTCTGGTTTTATCCAATTAGCAGGGTTGTCAAAATGAATTTATCCACGGAGGCAGGAGGACAATAGGACCGGCAGTGGCCCGGCAGAACAGGGGCCCCGGTGTCTTTACTTAGCACGCTCACAATGAACTTCTGTCAAGTGACTCTCCACCACAGAGACATATAAGGCACTCGGATACCTACACTCAGGATGCATGTCTTCACACACACACCCACACCATCACAGCCAAAAAAAACCTTGTACTCTCTACTGTAATCTACTGTACGCCGAAGCTGTTGCACATGAATTCACACACAGACACCTGTGGGCAGAGCTGTTTTTTACCCCTTTGACTTTGCTTCAATTCAACTTATTCAAAACAAGTTAAAGTCAAGTCTTAAGTCCCTGAGGGGAGGGACGAGTTTCTAAAAGCAGAACACGAGTCAGGATGCTCTCTGGTCTCTCAGTGGTGACCACTGAAATGAGCCGTTGACCATTTTCTTGTGTTTACAGTCGAGATCCATATTTAAACCTTTTGCCTCTCAATACTGACACCTTAAGTCATGGTGTGTGAACTCCAATCTAATACCAAATCTTTTTTACATATTTAAATTTTGCTCCTCAAAAAAAATCAACGAACAAAATAAGTAGACTATCGTTACTGACCGACTCTGATCTTAAGAATCAGCTGCCTCTTCTTATGTAATTTGATGATGTCGTGAAACAGCGTGGGATCATGGGAGTTGTCTTTGCCTTTTCTCATTCTGTGCATTTGCAGTTTACTTGGAGCGACGTAACATGTAGCAAACGTAATGGATAAGTACAAGACAACATGATGTATAACATAGGTCCAGTAGTTTCTACACATTTTAATAAAGAATTGCTACATATTATATATTTGAACACAAAACTTGGATCAGACATTAAAAGTCAACTTTCAGCAGCAACAGACGCATTTCATTTGATACCAAAGTAAAATGAAATGTCTTTTTGGAGTCTCCAACATTTTTGCAGAACCAGTTCTTCTGTACACTCATCATACTTCTGCACTGGAACTGACAGATTGGAAGAATTCACACAGTTCTCCTCAAAGAACTGTCACTGAAGTATGTTTTAATACCACCGCTGCTCACACAGCGTTTGCCATTCCGTGCTTTTCATTATTGGTGTCTCTCTCTCACACACGCACACACACTCACAATTTCTCGGTCCTTAATTTAGTGGAGCTGTCTGTGTTTATGCTCTGGTTTTTATCAGTCTCGCTGATGCGTAGGAGGCTTCTCTCTCTCTCTCTCTCTCTCTCTCTCTCTCTCTCTCTCTCTCTCTCTCTCTCTGCCTGTAGCGTCTCTGCGATGGATGGATGGAAAATGTTGGACGTGGATGTCAGGCCAACTGTTCATCTTGTGGAAGGGTATCTGCTAAGCAAACACAGGACCCAGTTGACTAATGAATCAGACAGACATGCTTGGAGGAGTAAGGCTTTTCTTGGTGGGGGGGCGATGATGTACGCGGGGCCATCTCATGTTGCTCTTACAACAAAGCTCTATCTTTGTGTCCGTCTTGCTGCTTTTATTCTGAAGGGACAGGTAAGAGGTCTGGAGGCTGAGGAAGCGTGTCCCGTTGCACGTCCAGTTGGCAGACTCACTGGTGTGGTTTACGGTTAGCGACCCTCGCCGTTGGGACAGGTGCTCGATACAGATGTACGTCTTTAATGGGCAGCTGTCCTGGGTTGTGTCCATACAGCGAGCGGCCACAGAAGCCACAGGCCTTCACCTATGCTCACTCCTCGTCCCCACAGTAGCTCGCTGTTTGTTTACCGAGTCCGCCCACTACTGATGGCCCACTCTGAGGAGACCAGTGAGTAAATGAAACTGAACATGTATGTAGTGCTACGACTAAGGATTGATGTCTGCCTCAACCTTCGAGTTCACAGTGTTGTTCAAATGGCTGATAACTTTCCCAAAGCAAAGATATAAATTTACAGAACTGAGAAAAGCAGCAATTCCCTGCTTGACTTTTTTTGCTTAAAGCTGTAATATTCTAAATTAACAATCATGTGTATGTGAAAGAGGTCACTCGCTAGTGGTGGAGACTCAAACTGAGCTAACAGGAGAGTGAATATCGGACTAAGGTGTGCCAGGTGACAACGGACACGAATCCAAATGAAGCTCCTTTTGTGCTTAAAGGTGAAATCCATGTTGTGTTTTCACTGCTCCCTACTGGCACAAATAAACAGTTGATGAATAAATAAAATGACCAAATGATTAATTGACTAATCGTTAGCCCTAATCCAGGTTGTTTTAACAAGTTGGCAAAATTAGTCTATGATTTTTTTATACACCTCAGGGATGTCCAAAGAAAACGGAGCAGGGTAACGCGTGGCCTCGTTTGTGTCGTTAACAGCTGCTTTTCCATCAGCACACCGCTTTGCTCATTTTCACTAAATGTGCCAGGCTGCTAAACTGCTGCCATTAGATGATGAAGGTGCGCTGTAAGAGTTTCCATCCTCTTACTGTCCTGCTTTGGCCCCCAGTGTGTGTGAGTCCCTCGTCTCTGGGCTTCATTAATCATCACCCTGCCATAATAAGATCGGAAAAATATATATGAGAAAGTTGTGCGCCGCTTCCATTTTCACTGTAGCGACCCAGGGCGGTTTGTGCCCTTGGTGTGTGTGCATGTTCAGCGACATGTACTGTATGTATGTGAGAGAGAGAGGGAGGGTGGGAGAGGTTCAGTTCTGCAGGACCACCCTCCTCATTCTGACGGGAAGTTGTTAGTTTAACCTGACAGGAAAGAATTCGGGAAACTTGGCAGCAAACGACAAGGGAGAGAGAAAAGCTCCTCTCTCTGCATTAACTGTTAATAGACTGACCATCATCTCCATATTCATAAGAGTCCGCCTCTCCTCCACATCTCCTCCACCTCTCCTCCACTTCTCCTCCACCTCTCCTCCTGCACGTTGCTGTGATGTATATATTTCCCCCTCCCCTGCCTGTCTTTAGTTGCTCTTTGTCCCAACTCTTTAATGCAACCTGTGTGTTTTCCCTTCCTCCTTCCTGGACCCTCTACCTGTATCGGTTACACCTGAGCGGGAAGGTGGAGGGGTCGGGTTACGGCCCGCAGAATGAGGGCGCCCCTTTGATGGATGCAGGGCTGGATGGGTGCGGGTGCAGGCGGAGGAGATGGGGTCAGCGGTGCGATGGGGGCTGACAGAAAAGAAGGCTTTATTTGTATCTAGAGTTTGGCTGCTGAGGGTGCTGCCGAGTGCACCGCCTTGCCTGGGTTGTGTTTCGTTAATGGCTGCCTGTGTTTGTGTGTGTGTGTGTGTATACAACTAAGATAGAGGCAGAGAGGGACGGTGTTATGTATGAAATCAAGACTCAATGTTTATATATATTCCGTGTGCATCAGGCCTGTAAATGACTCTAACCTTCTCCCGTGTGTGTGTGTTTCAGGGGGTAGTGTATGGAAGATGTTTGGAACGAGAGACTGGACTCCGTGGATGAAAAAGAGAAGGGCTCCAGTGTTGTGTGCTCTGGGTGCAGTACTACTGTGCTGCCTACAGAGCAGTGCCTCCGTCTCCGGTGAGTAGATATGAAACAAGATGTTGAAAAAACTGGATCTCAGAGAAAAAGCCTTCATTTGTTTGCACGGAACATATTACAGGCTCAGTGCATGAATGCCTTTACATTAGTTTTTCCAAACACCTGGTACAGGATCAATCGTGCCAGGGATAAAAACACTGTTGCTCACAGGAAGAGAATGTTCAATGTGTCTGTCAGCAGCAACAGCAGTTAGTTTGAAATTTATCTGCAGCAGAAGGTAGTTTGCAATAAGCTGCATTAGCCACCACGGGTGAACTGAAAACTGAAAGATGTAGATCTGCAGTAATTGCCCCATTAATTGATAAGTTAATTAAAAGAACCATTGCAACTGCTTTGATGATTAATGATTACTAAAAATAAATAAGTACATTTGGTTCCAGGTTCTTAAAAGTGATTTGTCTTTTTCTTTAGGTGTATGTAATAGTGTGACAATGTCTCTTTCTTCAGATGAGGTCCCCGTCTTCACCGAAGAGCCCATGTCCGTGGTGCAGAAGTTGGGCGGCAGCGTGAACCTCCGCTGCGCCGCCCGACCGGCCACAGCCAACATCAGCTGGCGCCTCAACGGGCAGGAGCTAGTGGACGGGGATGTTGGTGTCGTGCTCGGCCCCGTCGGCCTGTTCATCCCCGCCCTCTCAAACCTGACGCTGGGTCGGTACCAGTGTGTGGCCAGCACCGGCGCTGGGGCCCTGGCCAGTGTGCCTGCTAACGTCACCGCTGCCAGTGAGTAACCGCCCACACAAAGCTGCGGCAACAGACACACAAACACACAGGCCCTCATGCTGGCCCCTTTTTTGGTTTGTCAGAATGTCTTTGACTTAATTTTCTCAAAGTAAAACAAAAACAGTGAAGAGGCGGTGTTTGTTTCTTTAAAAACAACAAACCTCGTACTTTTCCACTGATGGTTACAAAGGTCCAGCGACAGTTTCTGTGCTGATGATGGAAAACTGTTGCACATCATTGATCCGTGCTATAACTGAGTTTTCAGACAGTATTTATTCATTCCAGGTTTCGACAACATCTGCTGTATCATCTTGATCTCATGGAGTTAAAGTGAATTATTCTCTACGCTGACATTTTTAGTGCTTTGCTGCTCTTGAGTGTGTGTTGTTATATTTGATATGCATCATGGGACTCAGGAGGGGGCCTGAAGCTGTGTAACCTGAGCCAGAGGAATGGAGGGGACCCAGGGGCTGGGGCCAGTCAGCGCAGCGAGAAGGGACCACAGCTCAGCCTGGGGGCCCCCTCCTTACCTCCACTGGCCCCTTTTCTCCCCACAACACCGCATTCCTCTCCGCAGGCCCCGACAGCAGGGCTCGCCAGAAATTATGGCCCCGTAATTGGGTAGAGGGTTGGGGGAAGATGTTGGGGCGGGGGTGGACAGAGGATATGGGTGTGTGCCTGACCAAAACACACGGTTAGTTTAAAAAACAGCAGCCCTGTTAACTGTATTGTTTTACATCTAGGGTTCTGATGTATGAGGCTGTGTTTGAGGCCAGTCGAGACAAGATGAGACGTGATGTCACATTCTCCTGTTTCCTTGAAGCACCTCTATAACGTGACACGAGCTCGCATTTCTCTTCCCCTTGCACATTTTTCACTCCGCACCCTGTCACTTTCTCTCCCCTTCCCTCCTTTCATTATCAGTCACTCTCCTTCCTCTTTTGTTTTCCTCGCATCCCTCTCTAATTTTTCCCCTCACTTCTGCTGAGTGACGTTTTGTCAAGCGGTGATCCGAGACACGTTAAAAAAGTTATTGATGGCTCCAGTAGTGGATGAAACCTGTTGCAATAACCACATGTGGAGCCAGACTGGTCGCCCTGCCTCCCCCTCCCAAAAAAAATTTCTTTAATTTAATAACGGCTTCTCCTCGGCCACCCCCAAACCGCCTAAGGAATTGCTCCATGGGGAGTGTGTACGTGCCTGCCTTTCCACATGAGCCCTCTTAGTTGCGTGCACATGTTTTTTGTGATGAGAAGAGGTTGATTCCAGGCCCTCCATGCTATCCGCCTCTGAAGAATCACTGCTTTTTTGGCACGGGTTAAAAGCTCCTCACGAGCATTTTTGCACAGACAATCATCCTCCCCTCTTTTCTTTTAGCTGCAGAAGACGCAGACATGTATCTGCACAACGTGAGCGTTTGCACAAACACGTTATAATTCAGATGCACAACACGCGGGCCTCCTACTGCTACACATTAAGATGATGAATGCACTGTCTCTCTAGAACTATTTCAAAGTCGGCCGTGCCAAACAGCGCTGGTGCGGGAGGTCTGCAGCACTTTATGAATACCATCAATCGTCCATTCCTGCAGGATGAACACACACACACACACACA